AGATTTGGGATGGAGTTGCAGAAACTTATTCACAGAATGAGAATGTTGCTAGAGCCTACCAGTTGAGAAACCAGGTGATTGCTACCAGGCAGGGAGATAAATCTGTTGCTATTTATTTTTCAGTTCTTAAAACCTTATGGTAGGAAATAAGATCATTTGGAGACTGTGGTTCGGGAAAGTAGCAAAGATGCAACAACTTATTAGAAGCTGGTAGAGAAGAATAGGGTTTTTGAGTTTCTAGCTGGACTTAACCCTGAGTATGACATTGCACGGCAGCATATTCTTTCTAGAGATGGTGTAACTCTCTCTTAGGCATATGCCTTTGTGTCTAGAGAGGAGAGTAGGAGGAATGTGATGATGAGAAATCCAAGTCTTGAGTAGTCAACTATGGTTAGCACAGTGAAGCCTAAGCTCAGTGGAGACAAGGGTGGAATGAACCTAGGAAGGAGGACAAGAAGGATCTGATCTATGACTATTGTAAAAAGTCTAAACATACCAGAGATACCTCCTGGAAGCTTTACCCACACCTTGTGCTAAGCTGACTTGGAAACAAGAAGGGAAATGTAAATATGGCAGTGACTGGTGACTTATCAACACCACCTACTACAACTTCCCTAGAGTTTGTTGTAGTAGCTACAGTGAGGGCCGACTTGGAGAGATATGGGCATTTTTGAATTAGAGGGATACAATCAGTTCCAACCCATTATCAAGTAGACATCAAGGTACAGATGGATCAAGAGGTAGCCATTCTACTTCGTTTGCACATACAGGTAGTTCACATGCCACTGCAAAATATGTTTGCATTACAGGTAAGGAGGGACCTTCTTGGATTATAGACTTAGGAGACTCAAAGCATATGACTAACATTTCCACCATTTTCTCCTCATACCACCTCTACTTTGGAAGAGATAAAGTCTCCACAGTTGATGGATTAGATGTTCCCATTGCTGGGAAAGGGCCTGTCAAGATAACCGACACCGTTACCCTACCCTTTGTCCTTCATGTCCCTAGACTGAGTACTAACCTTTTATTTGTTAGTAGCTTGACAAAGAATTTGAATTGTTTAGTGATTTTTTTTTTCCTGATGGTCATTGTGTTCTGCAGGATGTAGAATCAAAGAGGGCGATTGGGAGCGGTCGTGAGGTGAATGGAATCTATCTTCTTGATGCGCTTCCTAGTCATAAGAGTCATCATGTCAGCAGGGGTATTGAGTTAGAGCCAGTGGGTCAGCTTATGCTTTGGCATAATCGGTTAGGGCATTTATGTCTTTTGCTTCTTTGTGTTTCTTGTTTCCGAAATTGTTTGAGTTTGTCAGTTTGTCTAGTTTGGAGTGTGAAGGTTGTCAACTTGGAAAGCATTATAGGCATTCCTTTAAAGCAAGTAATAAAGATGTTTTTCTACTTTTGATATTGTTCATGTTGATGTGTGGGGGCCATATCATGTTTCCTCTCTAGGTGGCTATCAGTATTTCCTTCTGTTTGTGGATGATTATTCTCGATATTCTTGGCTATATATGATGAGATCCCGTGATGAGGTACCACCTTTGGTTTGACAGTTTCATCAGATGGTGCTGACGCAGTTTGGGGTATGAGTGAAAGTGTTTAGGTCGGACAATGCCAGGGAATATTTTGAAAAAAAAAACTAGCATCATATCTATTGGAGCATGGAGTAATTCATCAAAGTAGTTGTCCATACACTCCACAACAGAATGGTGTAGTAGAAAGGAAGAACAAACATATTGTGTGTTGGAAAACGTGGGGTTATTGGTTCAGATCTGAAAATAGAATTCCTCTGATATCTTAAAAGGTTTCCAGGTGCTGGCTTGTTGTTTCAAAGACATGGGCATTTGAAAGTTGAAGTGTATACTGATGCAGATTAGGCTGGATCTCTAAATGACAGAAAGTCTACTAGTGGCTATTGCACCTTTATAGGAGGAAACCTTTTTACCTGGAGAAGTAAAAAGCAAAGTGTGGTGGCTAGATCCAGTGCTGAAGYTGAATATCGRGCAATGGCTCATGGAGTGGCTGAAAGTATGTGGATAAAGAATCTGTTGAGTGAGTTGGGTTTTCCAGTGGATAGGCTTATGACCCTATTCTGTGATAACAAAGCAGCCATAAACATTGCTGCTAACCCAGTGCTACATGATAGAACAAAATACATCGAAGTCGACAAGCATTTTATCAGAGAGAAAGTCATCACAGGTGAAATGTGTACTCCCTATGTCAGCTCTGAGGACCTACTTGCAGACATCTTTACAAAAGGACTACACCACTCAAGACATCATGRKCTWTGTGACAAGTYGGGCATGATTGATATCTATGCTCCAACTTGAGGGGGAGTGTTAACAGATGTTATTTTATATATGTATAGTACCGCAGAGGTACTATTGTACTTTTCCTTTTCTTTATGTTTAGTTGTTGTCGCCCTAGTATAAATATAACATACTGTGCCGCCTGCAGTATCTTTTTGGGCTCTCAGTCCTCTCGTCTCTCTTCTCCTCTCTCCCTTTTTCTCTTCTTCCTGTACAACACTTTATAAGGCATCTGCCAAGCACACAAGGTGATTAGATTTGAATGTGTCAGCCAGAAAACTTGCAGATTACAGCAAGTACTTGCTTGCTTGATTTCCATCTTTCTACTTCGATTTTCCAGTTCAGTTTTGGTGAAGTCTGCTATAAAAATCACTACCGTTCTCCATATTCCTAGAGAGCAAAGATATATTTGTAGAATCAGGGCTCCAAAGTTTAAAGAAGATGGAGATTAGAAAGGCTCTAGGACCTGATGGTATCTCATTAGAAATTTAGAAATGTATGGATGAGATGAGATTATTATGATTGACTAAGCTACTTATCATGATTATTAAAACAAAAAAGCAAAACCAAGCATCTGTTAAGTGGAGGAAAAGTATAATGGTCCCCATACGTAAAATCAACGGTGATAATTCAATTACAACAATTGTTATGGGATTAATTTCATGAGCCATGTTATAAAACTTTGGTAAATGATGATTCAGCAATGTTTAAGACATGAAATTAGTATATCAGAAAATCAATTAGGAATCATGTTAGAGAGATTTTATCAACTATGGAAGTTATTTTTTCACTTAGGAGATCAATAATCAACCAAAAAGTTAAGGGAACAGAGGAGAAATCTCGACTTGGTATTTATTATTATTATTATTATTTATTTATTTTTATTTTTGAAGCCTCCACTTGGTATTTATTGACTTATAAAAGTATATGATAGGTTTCTTTGAGAAGTTATTTGGAAGGTTTTAGGAAAGAGGGCTTCAAGTACGTTGATGTCAGTAGGGATATTTATGAAGGGACAATAACTAGTTTGAGAACTCAAAGAGGGGAGATGAGAGAAGTTCCAATCACAATGAACTTGTATTGAGGGTCTGCACACAGTCCGTTTTTTTGTGTATTACTTATGGATGAATTAAGTAGGCATTTACAGGAGGAGCTCCAGAGGTGTATATTGTTTGCTGCTGATATAGTATTGATTGATAAGACAATAGATGGGCTCAATGCAGAGCTAGAACAATGAATGAGATGCTTTAGAATCAAAAGCTTCAGGATAAGTCAGACCACGACAGAATATACATAATTCAATTTCATTAAAAAAATATATATATAGTAACAATTGTGGTGCAATTAAAAATGGATATGGCACTGAATAGAATGGAATAGTGGAACAGGGCTCATGTATCTGACCCTATATAGTAGAGACAAGGCTTAGATGGTGGTGGTGGTGCAATTAAGATTGATGATTAGAAGATACCTCAAAGTACCACTTTGGTATCTTTGATGAATCATCCATAATGAGAGAGAAACCAATGTGAGTGCTGCCCATAGAATTAAGGAAAGGTGGTTGAAATGGAGAGGTGCATGAGATATGCTGTTTAAAGCTTTGCAAGACAGTTATAACTTTACTATATGGAGTAGAACATTACGCAATAAAGAAACAATGTGTCTAACAAATGAGCATAGCTGAGAAAAGGATGTTGAAATGAATGAGCAACAAGATTAGAAATGACAGAATTAGAAACGGGCACTCTAGAGAGGACTTACGATGGCTCCATTTAGTGACAAGATCAGGAAAAGTTGACTGAGATGGCTTGGTTATATGTATATACAACCAATGACTGCACAGGTGAGGAGTGACTTGGTGCAAGAAAGAGCAGGAAGACCAAAGAAAAATGTGGTCTAAACTCTAAAGTGATAAGAAATTGTCTTAAAAAAAAAGAAAAGAAATGATAATAGGACTTAAAATTTGACTTGAGTTGACAAAAAGTTTAATTCTTATACACCATTGGAGTGGGGCACCAACATCCCTTGTTCCCATAAACATATTAATTAAAAAAAGGCTAGAATTTTTAATCCTAAAGATTACTAAAAAAATAAACAGATTTGGAGAGAAAAAAAAAAGAAATTGAGGTCTTGACTCTTGATGCAGAGCATAAATTTTTTATGAATTGTAAAGCCAGTCACATCAAGAAATATGTTTAGAATTCAATAAAAACAGAAATATGAACTTTCTAATCTTAGAGATAAAAAAAATATACCTATATATCTGATCTAGCCATATTGCTCTTAAACCATTTACATATCATGTAATGTTGGACTTTGATGGATCCTATTGTATGATACCACAGTTAAGTTGTTTTGATGCCTTTTTGGCACCTGAAAGCAGGGCCCCAAGTGGGATGATGAACTTAGACTTGATTGATTTAAGTCGCATCATCTACAAAAACATATACACCCATGGTGGATGGGAACAATTGCCATTGGCTCATCTCATTTGACTTAAAAGCATTTGAGCTTTGAAGCAATTTAAGTTAAAATATTGGTTGATGGTTAACCATATGTAAATTGTGGTTTGTCACCCTATCTTTCTTTATGTTGGTTAGAAAGGAAGGCATACCGTCATTCATCTTGGTATTTCTTCAGGGTAACTTATCATCATTGACTTTTGATTTTACTGGACTTTGTTTTACAGCATTCAAGGAGAAGATCTTCTGAATCAAGTTCCTCGTCTTCAAGTTCATCATCCGAGTCTTCCAGCAGTGAAGATGAGAGGGAAACCAAGAGATCCAAATCAAGGTCAAAGAGAAGAAAGGAAAGAAAGCACAAGTCGAGAACAAAGCATTCTAGTAGCGATACTGAAGAGAACAACGGCCCTTTGCCACTTTCCAGATTCTTTGGGAGCATGAAGAGCTAATGGGCTCTCAAAGGTTTCTTTGTATCTTATTGATCCCCCTGGCGGTGGATGAGTGGAGTGTTCTTTCTCCGTTCTTATCAAAACGAGCTTGAATTTCTTCCTTGTCAAAAATTTTTCTTTTTTCTTTGGTTAAGATATTTGCTTGCCTTTTTTTTGGTAAAATTTATCTTGTAAGTTAGGATAAAAATGTCTAATAAAAAGAAGTGAAGATCAAAATTCTCAGAATGATACAACTAAGCTTGGGAGATAACTGATAAAGCAATTGCAGTATATAAAACTGCCCTTGGGTTAATATCAAATTATTGTACTTTTGTTTCATTTTTCTTGTTCGTGAACTGTCAGATTTGAAACCAAATGGTTCGCGCTGATATTTGTGGTTTAAGTCATCAGTAGCTTTTTATTGGACGGTTGGTAGCATTGTCTGCATCTCGATTTGGTTTACCAACGTCACAAAATTCAAAACCAATTTCCAAATCCATGATTCTAAAATGCCTATTATAATGCAGCTCAAAATGCTTCTGCATCATGTTACTATTTGTTAGGGTTGGGATGCGTTGAAGGAGTTCGGCTTCAGTCAGGGCAAAGCCCATTCGAGCAGCTTTTAGTGCCTTACATTTGCCCTGATAGAAGTTGATCTTGCGTTGAAGTTTGGCTAGGGTTAGAGTTAAAAAAAAAAACAGGGTAAATTACAAAGACCCCGTACTATGGGTAAGTGATAAATAACCCCTATACTCATTTGCGATAGGCCTCCCTTAACTTTTTATAATTTGACAAATGAATTCGGATTAACTGACCCCAATGGCTGTGGAGTTAATGAAAAGGTTGCACGCCAGTAATAAGATCATGGGCCCCACTCTAAAAGGTGCGGACTCCATGTATTTTATTACTGACGAAGAACCTTATCATTGGTTCCACGCTGAACAGCCATTGTAGTCAGCCAAACAAAGCTCGTGACAAATGCCCTCCCCTGTTAGCATCTTGTCTTGAAAAAGATTCTTATTCAGTTGTTTAGGCCATGTTTGGTTCTATTCTCATTCTTTCTCAATCTTATCTAAGATGAAATTCCAAGATGGAAAAAAACTGAGCAAAAATGGGAAGAATGAGAAAATATTGCTACGAATCAAATGCTTTATTTTTTCAATGGTTGGTCATCTCACTCCTTTTGCTATTGTTGGTACATAGTGCTCGTTGAGTCCGTTAGAGTATAGAGAACAATAAATTGATATCATATGGATGCTTACGATCGCTTTATAGCTCATCTTTCCCCTGTGATGAACTTATAGTACATCGCAGGTTTGCGATAAACACATGGTTTGTTACACGATTGCGATGAACCTACACTTAATGCAAGACCAAGATAGATTCTAGTTAAACCTGCAATGAGTTTTATATGTATCCGGTTTTGCAGTGAACCTTGAATGTGCGTGACTTTGGGAAAAGCACGGTCTTGCAATAAATCCTGGACCGCTAAGGAATCCAGATTCATTAAGAACTGGGCTTAAATATTAATTGCACTTGTAATTGCCACGTTAGTTAAGGTGCGAAAGGCAGTAGCACACGTAGATTATGAGAATCCTCAGGTGAAAGAAAAGTCAACCCTTGAGAGATCTCATAAGAACACGTGGCGAAACCTTAGTAATGCTCCTTAATGGTCGACAACGGATGTAATATTCTCTTTCCTAATAGAAAACAATCACTTTTGGCTCATTCCTTTCGGTACCTCGAGATCCATGCCTATAAATAAAGATCCTCCTCATAACGAAATTCATTCATTCAACCCTATCATTGGATCCCCTACTTAAGTCGTCTCCATCACTCCCCTTATCCTAACCTCTTGGTTGGTTCTCTGCTCCTAGCCTTCATTTGTCCTTCAAGGAGACCATTCCCACGTAACTCGACCACCTCCTACTTACAACTAGCAATGTTTCTTTCTCCATCCATGAAGGTGAAATTTTATATATCTAGGTAAGGCAATCTCCTTTGGATGCAAGAGTGCCACCTAAGTGGTATAGAACAATGATGTCGCATTCCCATTTTTATCGCACATAAGCACTATATAGGTGATTTGATTTTAATGGGCTACACAACTGTGGTAGCTTATCCCCATACTCATAACCCCTAACCTTGGTGGCAGTAGGATTCGTTGTTGAGTCTTTGTTAAAACAAGATGGTGATTGTACCAACTGAGACATTCATTAATTGGATTGTGTATGGAGTGATGGGAAAAATAATGGTTCAAAGTATTGATACATACCATATAATGTCTTGGTTTTCAGGGTCAACAAATGCTAAATACTAAGAATTAGGGCCTTTTAATAGGCTTAAGCATTAAAACCCATCCTTATATATCTCTTTGTTTTTTTATTCTTTTGTAATAATCTATTTGCAAATTTATCAAACTCAAAAGAAAAAGAGTCTCAATGGTTCTGGATATGCAATACTTCCATCTCCAAAGTATTGATACTTTGAACCTTGTGGAAATATCAAAAAGACATTTCCATTATTTCAAGTGTGGTCCCACTTGTTATCCTATGTGAGACATGATTATTATTATGGTAGAAATTAAAGACCAATTATGGTGCATTTTGAATATTTGTTGTTAAATCAAAATTTCAATAAATTTGGTTAAAGACCTCACATGGATTATTTACTTTTCATTGGTTCTATACTTGTTATTAAAGACTAATACTTTAACAATGTTAAAGATTCAACTGTGATATGTTATTTCAAGTTTTTTTGCTTCACCATGCAAATTTTGTTTTGAAATTATAGTAAAGTATTGCACCATGCATTTTGTATCAAAATATCACATTTACTTGATTTTCAATATATGGTGTAAGTTGAAATATTGATATGTAATGATAAAAGCTTGGGCCTTGGAGGTAGCACCTTTCTGATGAAGCAACCACTAGCCAATTAAAGGCTTTAATTAAAGAGGAAACACCTTAAACTATTTCAAAGACCAATTAAAAAAACACTCATCCTCTTTTGCCCGGTTTGTAAAAGGTCTTAATGTTGCTCTCATCATTAACGTCATTCTCTAGCAATGGAAAAGAACCTACAAGTAGTAGTTAAAACTGTTGCTAAAGACCTATAACAACGGTCTTGCTACGGATATAAAACTGTTGCACCTTCCACCATGGCAATAAGTTCTATTGCAAGAAATATCATTTAGTAATGAATATAATCGTGGCCATAGGACAAGGCTATTGCAACGGGCACTGACTATACTATTGCTGAAACATCTATTGCAACGGATATAATTGTAGCTAAAAACTATCAAAACATATTTAGTAGATATGCAGCAATAGCTACATAATGAAAATTGTAGTTATAAATATATTATAGCAATGGTTTTTTCATAGAACCATTGTGAAAAACTATCTCTAGCAATATTGAACAATTGATAGAAACTGTCATTTGTAATGAATTTTGCATTGAACCGTTACTAGAAAATATCTCAAGCACATGTTTTTGTATAAAACTATTGCAAAAATCTATCTCTTGCAACGGTTTTTGTATTGAACTGTTACTAGAAAAATATCTCTAACAACGATTTGGAAGCTATGTCTAGCAATGGGGTATATTTAAAACTCTTGCTAGAAATTATTTTAACCACATATTTTTTCAATATAACTGTTACTAAAAGAATGTTACTAGCAACAGTTTATACCTATATATACATTCTCTTGGTTCTCATGTTATACAACTGGATAATCAAATATACAAGCAAATGTATTTTTTATGAAACATTTAAATTACAAAATGTTATTACAAAATGAGTATACTTGTCATCATTTGTAAAAAATAAATACATAAATATTTTCAACAAGAATACGTGAATAAGGAGTATACATCAACACCATCCCATGAATAATTAAAAAACATGCATCAACACACTCTCCCTCCCTCCTTGAAACGCTTATAGTAGCAAGCTCCAATAATAGACTTAACCATGTTTAGACCAGCCGTTTTGAATGTGTGAACGCTCTAAAATTAAATGGGACATCAAGGGGATAAAAAACAAGACCATCACCCAAGTGAAAGCTAAATGCACCATCTTGATGCGGTGTAGGAAAATTCTTGCTCTTGTTCTTTGCATTTGCATGCATAATTAAACATCTCCTCTTTTTGTAAAATAAAATAAACATCAACCAAAGTTAAACAAATGAAGCAACTAAGAAGTCCATGTTCTTTAGAAAATCAACTATTGAATAAAAGAGGGACCCATCATGGTTTAGTATTTGGCTTGTGGCTTAACACTTTCACTAGCTGCCACGGTCCTAGCCATAGTTTGGATCTATGGCTAATATATTGCTACAAAATCCAACCAAATCATCAAAACATATCCAACAATGGCAAATAAAATGGGATGGTGTAAAATCAGAAAAGGAACATAAATAGAAAGACCGGGTTAAGCAATAAGGCAAATGAATAGGTACATGCACCATGTCTGTTTCTTTTTTTTTCTTATTTAATAAAACATGCAATATGCTTAATTTGGAGTGTTTTAATAAAGCATACAGACATAAATATGTTTTTTTTAGTGTTTTAAATTAGATGCAAGATCCGATGTTACAAGTAATCCAAGGCATTCGGTCAATGTTTTAAAAACCGACTGGGAATTGGAACCACTTTTATGTTCAAGTGCAGCTAAAATCTGTAACTTGTGCAACTCATAACAGTTCAAGTGCTATGTAGTGAGAATGGTTAATAAAACTATACAAAGAAATTTATTTACCACTATTTCTTAGGTTAATCGCAGATAAAAAAGGATAAATACCATACTCCCTAAAGGTGTACAAAGAACTAAAAGCATGAATGGAAATTGGAAAACCTTCATCCCCATTTCAATAATCTATTTACACTGTTATAATATAATGTTTGCAGTGCCATGGAACCTAACTCAGCCATAGAGATAAAATGCTTATCATTAATTCTTCATAATATGAATTAATTAAAAACAAATGACTAAAGGTGCCATAAAAAAATATAGTCAACATAAACCAAGGGTGGCAAATTGATGGGTTGGGTTGAGTAAGGGTTGAATACCATCCCACCCATATTAACCCACCAACCCACCATGACCCATCACTAATCCATGTTAATGGGTCACAACCCACCTTGACCCACCCATATTGACCCACTTGATCCACTTGACCCATCCATATGACCCTTACCCACCCTCACCCATACTAACCTAATAACCTCACTTATAAATACGAAAACAACTCAGGTTAATCCATATACAAAAAAAAAAAAAAACATTTTAAGAAAATCATTTCTCAGGACTATCGCATAGGAAATACGAGTCGGAC